GTCCTGGCATTCTCAACAAGACAAAAATGTCCTTAAGAAAGGGGGAAGGAGAAATGCTGAAAAAAGAGTCTATCAAAACAGACACCAAGCAGGAAACCTGTGAAGGACACTCATCAAGTGGAAGAAACGGAACCAGAAGCAAAGTGTCAGATGCGAGAAGAGAAGAGAAGTAGAGCAACTGGACGTGTGGCCGCACCAGGGCCAGCGAAGGAACGAAGCCAGCGTGGAGCTCTTAAATGGTCACTACGTGCTACGAGCCAGAGAACAGGCCAGTGCGCATGCCAGAGCCTTATCCCCTCAGGACAGAAGAGCAAGCCCTCTGTGATTCATGCATGGAAGGGCACGTTACAACATCAGGTGGCCTCTCAAACCTGACCAAATATATCATTTCCATATGCCAAGTAAGAGGGAGAAGGAAGGGACAGCCATCAACTCAAGGGAACACAGGCAAGGAGGGAAGTATAGGGAAGAAAAAAGGGAAAACAGAAAACCCCAAAATTGGTGAAAACAAACATAAATATGTGAGTAATCACTTTAAAGTGAATGATGTAAATCCAAAAGTCTAAAGAAGGACCAGCTGCTCTGGTTGTTGTCCGGTGCATCTAGTCAGCGTCAACTCACAGAGACCCTGTGTACAAAAGAACGAAATGCTGCCCGGCCCTGCACCAGCCTCACAATCCCTGCTATGCCTGAGCCCATCATCACAGCCACTGTGTCGATCTATGTGATTTTTTAAAAATGCAAGTTTACGTTGTTTATACAACCAAAAAAACCCAAACGCACTGCCGTCGAGTCCTCTCTGACTCATGGCAACTCCTCCTTGTGTTTCCAAGGCAGTATCACTACAGAAGTAGATTGCCCAACCTTCCTTCCGAGGAGTGGCTGGTGAGTTTGAACCACCAACCTTTTGGTTAGCAGTCAAATGCCTTAGGCACTGCGCCACCGGAGCTCCCTGTTTATACAAGGCATCCTAAAATATTAGGCCACCACTCATCTGTCAGTTTGTCGTACTGTGGTGGCTTGTGTGTTGCTGTGAGGCTAGAGGCTATGCCACCAGTATTTCAAATACCAGCAGGGTCACTCATGGTGGACAGGTTTCAGCAGAGCTTCCAGACTAAGATACACTCAGAAGAAGGAAGGGGCCATCCACTTCTCAAAGAACTGGCTAGTGAAAACCTTGTGAATAGCAGTGAAACATGGTCTGATATATTACTGGAAAACTTTATGAATAGCCCTGAAACATTGTCTGATATAGTGCTGGAAGATAAGGTCATCAGGTCAGAAGGCACTCAAAATATGACTGGGGAAGAGCTGCCTCCTCAGAGTAGAGCTGATCTTAATGACGTGGGTGGAGTAAAGCTTTCAAGACCTCCATTTGCTGATGGAGCATGACTCAAAATGAGAAGAAACAGCTGCAAACATCCAGTAATAATCAGAACATGGAATGTACAAAATATGAATCTAGGAAAATGGAAGTTTTCAAAAACAAAATGGAATGCATAAAAATCTATATTCTAGGCATTAGTGAGTTGAAATGAATTGGTACTGGTCATTTTGAATCAGAGAACCATATGATCTACCATGCTGGGAATGATAAATTGAAAAGGAATATCATGGCATTCATCATCACAAAGAATGTTTCAAGATCTGTCCTGAAGTACAATGCTGTCAGTGATAGGATAATATCCATATGCCTACAAAGAAGACCAGTTAATAAGACTGTTATTCAAATTTATGCATCAACCACTAAAGCCAAAGATGAAGAAATTGAAGATTTTTATCAATTTCTGCAGTCTGAAACTGACCAAACATGCAATCAAGATGTATTGATTATTACTGGTGATTGGAATGAGAAAGTTGGAAATAAGGAATCATTGGTAGTTTGAAAATATGGCCTTGGTGACAGAAATGATGCTGGAGAGCTCATGAAAGAATTTTGCTGACCAACAACTTATTCATTGCAAATACTTTTATTTCAACAACATAAACGGTGGCTATACACATGGTTGGTTCGAGTTGATGCTGAAGACCATTAAAACAAGTCCACAAGAACCAAAATGCAACCTTGAATACAACCCACCTGAATTTAGAGACCATTTGAAGAATAGATTTGATGCATTGAACACCAATGACCAAAGACCAGAGGAGTTGTGGAATGACATGAAGACCACACATGAAGAAAGCAGAAGGTCATTTAAAAGACAGGAAAGGAAGACCAAAATGCATCAGAAGAGACTCTGAAACTTGCTCTTGAATGGAGTTTAGCTAAAGAAAATGGAAGAAATGATGAAATAAAAGAGCTGAACAGAAGATTTTAAAGGGCAGCTCAAGGAGACAAAGTAACGTGTTAAAATGAAATGTGCAAAGACCTGGAGTTAGAAAGGTAAAAGGGAAGGACATGCTCAGCATTTCTCAAGCTGAAGGAACTGAAGAAAAATTCAAGCCTCAAGTTGCAACATTGAAGGATTCTATGGGCAAAATATTGAATGATGCGGGACACATCAAAAGAAGATGAAAGGAATACACAGAGTAACTGTACAAAAAATAATTGGTCAACATTCAACTATTTCAGGAGGTAGCATACAGTCAAGAACCAGTGGTATCGAAGGAAGAAATCAAAGCTGCATTGAAGGAATTGGTGGAAAACAAGGGTCCAGGATTCAATGGGATATCCATTGAGATGTTTCAACAAATGGATGCAGCACTGGAGGTGCTTGCTCATTTATGCCAGGAAATCTGGAAGACAGCTACCTGGGCAACTGAATGGAAGAGATCCATGTGCCTATTCCAAAGAAAGGTGATCCCACAGTGTGTGGAAATTATCACAAGTAAAATCTTGCTGAAGAAAATTCAGGAATGCTTGCAGCAGTCCATTGACAGGGAACTTCCAGACATTCAAGCTGGGTTCAGAACAGGATGTGAAACAAGGGATAGCATAGCTGATGTCAGAGGAATCTTGGCTGAAAGCAAAAAATGCCAGAAAGATGCTTACCTGTGTTTTATTGACTATGCAGACATTCAGCTGTGTGGATCATAACCAATTATGGAAGACATTGAAAAGAATGGGAATTCCAGAACACTTAATTGTACTCATGAGGAACCTGTACATAGACCAGGAGACTATCATTGGAACAGAACAAGAGGACACTACATGGTTTAACATCAGGAAGAGAGTGTGTCAGGGTTGTATCCTTTCACCATACTTATTCAATCTCTATGATAAGCATATAATCTGAAACACTGGACTATATGAAGAAGAAGGAGGCATCAGAATTGGAGGAAGACTCATTAACAACCTGTGACACGCAGACAACACAACTTTGCTTGATAAAAGTGAGGATGACTTGACCCCAGCACTGATGGCAAGGTTCAATGAGACAGAAAATAACAAATGCTGGTGCGGATGTGGAAAGATCGGGACTCTCATACACTGCTTGTGTGATCGTGAAGTGACACAACCCCTGTGGAAAGCAATATGGCGATTCCTTAGAAAGTTGGAATTGGAGATAACATTTGACCAGCAATCCCATTACTAGGTATATATCCTAGAGAGGTGAGAGGCAGGATAGGAACAGACACATGCACGCTCATGTTCATCACAGCACTATTTACAACAGCAAAAAGATGGAAACAACCTACATGCCCATCAGCAGAAGAGTGGATGACCAAACTATGGTACATACACATACTGGAATGCTATGCAGCACTAAAGAATAATGTAGAGTCTGCAAAACACTGCATAATATGGGTGAACTTGGAGGACATTATGCTGAGTGAAATAAGTCAATCACAGAAGAACAAATATAGTATTAGTACATTATTGTGGAGGGTCAAGGAAAGGTTTATATATGGAGGGAAATTTTCTTTGTTGGTTGCCAGCGGTGGGAGGGTAGGGAGAGAACACTGCAAAAAGAAAAAAATGCATTGACCCTTGTCACTTTAGTTTTGTGTATTTCACTGTACACAAATTATATTTCAATAAAATGTATTAAAAAAAAGAAAGTGAGGATGACTTGAAGCACCTACTGAAGAAGATTAAAGACAACAAACAATCTTCAGTATGGATTACAACTCAACATAAAGAAAATGAAAATCCTCACAACTGGATCCATGAGCAGCATCACCATAAATGGGGAAAATACTGAAGTTGTCAGAGATTTCATATTGCTTAGATTCACAATCAACACCCATGGAAGCAGTAGTCAAGTCATCAGATAATGTATTGCCTTGGGCAAATCCACTGCAAAAGACCTCTTTCTTTTTTTTTTTTTTAATTTTATTTTGATTTGGGTGAAGATTTACAGAGTAAATTCACTTTTCATACAGCA